ACAACACAATAGGAAAAAGTGTCGCAAAGAGAAAAAAAATAAAAAATGTAGGTTGTACAAAAATAGCCTATTAGCTATTTTTATTCGTCTTGTCAAAATACTAAATTCGTTTGACATTTTTCTGTTAACACAGTAGGAAAAGTGTCGCAGAGAAAAATAAATAAATAAGACATCTTTCATTTAAAATTATAGGCTAAGCAAAATATAAACAAATCCGAGTTGAACGTCCTTCAAGGACAGCACGTCCACACTTTGCTCCATCCTTATTCTGCTCTGTCACTCATCGACAACCTGCCTGTTCTGTCTGAGGGCCGTATATATACCACAGGTAGGCTACAGCCTGCTCTGAGCATTGTTATGCACATGCTGCGCACAGACCACGCAATTAAAACGCGTGACGTTTAAAGCATGCGTGCAGCGCGTGCATTACAGTCCTGAGTGTGCATAACAGTCCTTAGCGCAAGCTGTACCGGTGGTCAATAAGAATAAAGCGCAGATATGCTGTTCTAAATGGACGTCGGGAACGGGATATTGTTAGACCGCCCGCTCCCGTTCAAATTACACCAGAGTTACCGACCGCTACCGCATTTTATTCGGGAATTTAATCCCGCGGGGCAAAAAACCAGAGAGCCGCGGGAATGCAGACCTCTAGTCTGAAGCACGTGTGAAACTATGCCAATCTATTGGCCCACCTGGCCCATGACGTCATAGGCGGGATTCCCGGAAGTATAAAAGGGCACCTGCCGAATACGTCATCCACTTAGCTGTCTGAAGGAGACGTCGACAGGCAGGCCGAAGGGCACAGCGTCTTGTTCCCTCTCGGGGAACCATGGTTACATGCATAACTCGAGACGTTCCCCTTCTAGGGAACTCCACGCTGTGCCCCCTAGGGGGCACTATGGGGAACGCAATCCAACCAAGCCGTGCCGAGGCGTATGCCTGTCCACCTGGTGGAGGAGCACCAAAGGAGGTGACATACATACACCAAGCCTTTCCTCAGAAATGGGCCATGCCACTGACGCCACGGGCCGCTCACACAACTTGGCAGAAATGGGGAATCCGAATAAAGGAAACATCCCACCCAAGTTAAGAGCACAGCTATCACAGATGGCTATGCTATATGAACAGAACTAGCCTGGACACATAAGACCACTGAAGAGGATAACAGAAAACCTCCAAAGAAACTCAGAGATCCCAAAGGGAAGTAACTGCTGAGCTAGAACATGGCTATCCTCGGATAGCAATGCCCCTAAGGTCTTATGAAGGCTTGTGGACCAGAATGACATAACAAGAAAGCCTCCCTACAGAGCTGCCTAGACCACAGAGAGCGGGCCATCTACTTACTACCCTAACAGGGGACATAGCACTGTCCAGGCAAGGGCTCAAAGAGACCACTACTTAAAGACCCTAAGAGGGGAGCAGTCACTGAGCTAGCACATAGATATCCTCAGATAGCACTGTCTAGGCAAGGGCTCAAAGAAACTGCTACTTAACGACCCTAAAAAGGGGAGCAGTCACCCCCCATATATATATATATACATATATATATATATATATGTACTTAGGAAGGTGTAAGAAGGGAACCGACTGAAAAACTACCCAGACTACCAGAGTGGGCTGTCTACTTATGACCCAAAGAGCAGAGACAACACTGTCTAGGTAATGGCTCAAAGACTGCTACTTAAAACCCTGAACAGGGGAGCAACCATTGAGCTAGCACACAGCTGTCCTCAGATAGCTGGAATCCAGGAAAAAGGGAACCACCCCAGGAGAGGGCTCAGTGCAACTGCATTAAAACACAGCTAGCTTCAGGTAGCTGTAGTTGAATAAGCCCCGTCCTGCCCCTGCAAAGGCTGGAATATAACCACCCTCAGGTGACTATACCAAGGGTGTCCAAAAACCCGTGTCAGTTCCCAACAGCACTTGGTAGCTTTCCCACAGGCCTGCTCAGACCACAGAGAGTGGGCTATCTACTTACTACCCTAACAGGGGAGATAGCACTGTCTAGGCAAGGACTCAAGGAGACCGCTACTTAAAAACCCTAAGAAGGGGAGCACTCACTGAGCTAGCACATAGATATCCTCATATAACTACGTAATTGGGAAAGGCTACCAAACTACAAAACATGGCTAGCCAAAATAGCCCTCCTGTAGAGCTGCCCAAACCACAAAGAGTGGACTATCTACTTGCTCCCTTAACAGGAGAGATAGCATTGTATAGGCAATGGCTCAGGAGACCACTATTAAAGACCCTTTGAAGAGGGAGCGATAACTGAGCTAACACATACTGTAGATATCCTCAGATAGCTATGTCACACAGGAAAGAGCTACCAGAAGCAGGACTGACCGAACTACCAGACCATTGAAATGGGCTTGTCTACTTAACCCCAAGAGGGGAGACAGCACTGTCCGGGCGCAGGCTCTTAAAGAAACCACCACTCAACTAGAGTAGGGCCGAGCTTGCAGACAGCTTATCCTCAGAAAGCTATCTCTCCAGGCAAGGGGACCACTGCAATACCACCAGCCGTGGCTGTATAGATAAATCCAAAAGGTGGCAACAGCACCGCTACCAAACAGCCATCCGCAGATAGCTATAGTGCGGAAAGGGTTAATTGCAGTTAAAAATACAGCCAGCCTCAGATGGAGGTTGAGGGAGAAAAATTATCAGGACGCGCCGGCGTCGGGACGCGGAGGATTACCACGCCTCTTATTCAGCACGTTCCTGAGATCACTTCTTCCCCTGTCAGCGGTAGGCTTTCCTCGCCAACTCCTAGAGGGAGGAGGGGCACAGTTAGCGATGCTAGATTTCTGATCTTGTCTATGAGCCTCAACCCTAGACCGATCATCCCCCTTCAAAAAGGATTTGGAGCGCCTGGGAATGAATTTCCTAAAGGCAGCCGATTGTGCCTTCGCCT